CTGCCACTAGATGGTGTTAAAGTGATTTACATACAGTGCTGGAGATGTTTTGTCATAATCACTTGTTTTTCAACTGTGCTTGCAGGAATGGGTGTTTTTAGCTTTGCCAGGTATGATGACAACTTCTACAGCAGAAGTTATGCTGGAAGGCTAAAGAAATCATTTAAGACAAAGCAGGGGGACTACTCTGTGTTTGACGGATATTACACACCCCCCATCACCAGCACTCTGCTGCTTCGATCCTGCAAGGTCTCTAACAAACATGCTCCTCCACTAACTCAATTTTGGTACTCTGAACTTTTCAGTGGTCTTCCCAAAGGTCTTTCATCCTGTTAGGTTATCAATACTGCTGATAAAAACATTCAATACTACTGTTTTTTTTGTTATCAGAAAATCCTAAAGTTAAATATTTCTTTCCAGACAATGACCCATGAGATTGGCCATATGTTTGGAATAAAACATTGCCAGTGGTTGAACTGTGTCATGCAGGGTTCAAACCACCTGGATGAGTCTGATCGTAGGCCCCTGGATTTTTGTCCCATCTGCCTTCGCAAGCTACAGGTCGCAATCGGCTTCAAAATAGCTGAGAGATACAAGGTAAAAAACCCTTTTTACGTAGAAAACATGGAGGAACTCAGATTAAGAGAAGAATCTGACAGAATTTTAATTATAGATATATCAGTTACAGTAATATATCAACTTTTTCAAGTAATTTGTTGCAACATGTGTTATTGTTTAGAAATAATGAATCACAGAATTAATGAATTAATCATTAGTCAAACTCCAATCTAAAGCCAATAATGAAAGAATCATCTACACAAATTGTAATGACTTAAAGGTTGATTACACATCACTGGAATGAGCTTCAATATAACAAAGATTAAGAATTGAAGTAATTTTAAGACATATCTCCCTTCATTCATTGTGATCAATGCTGAAGATCAATTTAGCACAGACACAATCAGATGGATTTATGTTTTGTGAAGTGAATGTTGCTTTATGTTCAACAGGCTTTACTGCACTGGATGGAGGAGGATCAGAGTCAAACATCTGAGCAAGAGGAGGCCTCTGCCTGTCAGTCTGTGCTCCACTTTCCCAAACCCACTGAAGCCTTTCACACATCCAGACTGTGGCTGCGCAGGTGCCTGGATATAATGGGGAAAAAAGATGAACTATAGTACTTGTCCATAAATCTGGGTAACACTGGGAAATGAATGTAACAGGCCTGACTGTCAAATTCTGACTTGACCGAACCTTAATTTTGTTTACGACTGGTAAGCCCAGTTTCATATATATTGGGACATATCTGGGAGACTGTATAGTATATATAGTAGTATATATTGAGTTGTATTTGGGCCCCTGTGTTTTGACTGTCTGATATCAGCTTAATATGTTTCCTTTTAAATAAAGATGCAATATGTAGGTAACAACATATTTTTACTTTAAAATGGTACACTATTCTATATTATATACAATATTCTATTTTATATTTAAAAAACATGAAAACACTACATCTGATTGAGAGGTTCAAATCACGCTTGTTTTAATGCAATTGAACACATTTTACTACAAAAATAGTTCAAGTCTGACATATTCTATCACAGTGCATCATCAACTTAGCAAGAGTTTGATTAAAAAGAAACACTTTCAATCATGTTATCTCCTGAGCTTTGTGTATTTTCTATAACACGTTACAGAATCTGTGCAATTTATTGTTCTTGCAGCTACATTTGCATCAGTTTTCCTGGCTATCATTATCGTATAGATCACCAGAAGGTAAATAGTTCATCAAATATCAGTGTTGCATCTTGTTTCTAGAATATCTAAAACTAACTCATGGTCCATTTGAATACATCCATACTTCCACATCTCACACTGTTGTCATTTAAAGCGAGACTATATCAAACGTTTACTCACTTAAAGCTAATTTAATAATATATTCTTTAATTTTAACAGTACTGGCTCTAGAAAAACACTGTTTGGTACATAAATCATGTAAGGCACATTTGATACATACGTGGTCTAAAAGTTCTAGTTTGCTCTCAGAGCCCAGATCTACAATGGCGGATCATCAGATCAGATCATAAACACTTAATATTGGTCTTTATGTTCATTGTATTCATTTCACTTTCACTTGCTAGCAGTAGTCTTTACAGTCTTTTACCCTCATATGGCTTGACCCTTTTATTACCCATATCCTACTGTTATCAGCTCAAGCAAAACGTACAACCCCCTGGACATCTCTTGTGGCCTCTGCCTTATCCTGGACCATGTTGTCATCTAACTCAACTGGACTGGCAATGACCCGTTTATTCACTGCACTCTGTTCTTCTGAGTCCCCTTTCCTTTCATGTATGTATTCAGCATGTTTTGAGTCCCTTTTCCTGCAGAGTAATCCTCTCTTTGCAGGTTTTACTAAACCCAGGAACACGGCACTAAGTGCCATGCCGGCAGCACAGGAGTAGAAGGCTGATCCGTAATTCCGAGTCACATCCACCAGTGCGCCTGTGGATAGAGGGTGATTAAAAGAAAGCATTAAAGGGGCACTTCAACAACTTTACACATCAAGTTCACTTATTTCCTCAACTTGGGTTTGGAGACTATACATCTTTAACATAAAGCCTGCATAACAAACAGTGTTTACAAGACATTTACAGGACAGGAAGTGTCTTAGCTCAGACCAAAGATTTGCGATGAGAGAAGTCGGAACTTGCAACTATTTGCACTGCGCCAGTTTACACCAATGTAACTAAATAAAGGGAGGTGCATTGTCTCCATAGCAATGACTCTCTGTTGTCTGTTCTAAACGCCAACTTTTCAGACTTTTTTGTACCTGGATATAATTTGTAGCGTCTTAAAATATGAATGAAGATAGTGATAGTCAGGTACTTGCTACAGTTGCATTTAATTGACAAAACTGCAAAAACATATGAACAAACCAAATGGTTGAGCATTTAAAGTCTTCCGTGGGGGCTCTTTCTTTGAGTAAAGTTGAAGGCTTGTGTCATACATGACTGTTCCTCAAACCAACTGATGAGGTGATCTCTCTGATCCTGAGTACTTTTGCATACTTTGTCATATCCACATAAAAAAGGTTTATTTTCATTCCAGCTCTAAAATGGATTATAATCGGCTGCCATATTGATAACAAGGTCATTTTTCCATTTTAAAATCAGTATTTTAAATTAAAAATCCCAAACCGGTTGGCCATTAATCTAAATCATAAATCATCCTTGTGTAGTAGGAAGGTACAAGCTGTAGTAAAGTGAAACCATAGTAAACGCCTCATTACAAGATAACTCTTACCTCCAAGTGGGGGTCCAGCCAGCCCAGCAAAGCTTTGTATGAAAACATAAACACCAGCAGCTGAAGACATCCTCTCTATGCCCACCACGTCATCCTCAGCCAGCATGGGGATGTGGGTGCACGCCAGGGTTCCCATAAAGAAACCATACAAAGCGCAGCAAACAACCAGGCCATAAAACTCCCTAACCAAAGTAAACCCCACCAGGTCTGCAGTCATTGCAATCACACACGCCAGAAGCACAAGCAGCTTCTTCTTGACTAACTGCTTCCGTGATAGGATCCATCCAACGAAGAATCGGCCAATGATTTCGGTCACGGCCATGGTGGAGAGCATGTAGCTGGCGCTGTCTCGCTCCACACCTCGACTCACACTTAGCTCAATGATGTAGAGTGGAGGGGCGAAGAAGCCGAGCGTGGCGAACAGTCCGAACAGAGAATAGAGAATGAAACTGCACTCTCTGAGGACGGAGAAATCTAGAAATTTTGAGTTCTTTGCCTTTTCATCATCTGTTTTCATTTCCTCATCTTTCATCAAGTGTTTCTCTTCATCTTTACTGTTTTTCTCCTCGGTTTCAGACTCGGTAATCTTTGCCATACTGTTTTCCACAGATGTCTGTTCTGTTTCTAACCTTGCTCCTTTGTCCAGTAAAGTCTTTTCCTCTGCGCTGCTGCTGTCTGTGTCCTTTAGAGATTGAACACCAGAGTCTCCGGTGCTCACAGAGCCTCTGGTTAGCTCATTGTCCAGACTGTGGGAGGTATTTTGTGCATGTGCATTGCTTGTCATAGAGTCTTCTGGGTTTGTGCCCTCTCGATTCTGTCGTGTACTGAGGGCCTCCAGTTCCTTTGTGGATGATAAGTCAGTCTCTGTTGCAGTGGTCGCTCTGGGTTTGATAATGATTGGCCGGAGCAGAGCACCACAGATAATGATGATGCTTTGTAAAGCTCCTATCACTGCCATGCTGTGTCGCCAGCCAATATGGTCCCTCAATGCAGAAAAGGCTGCAAGGCAAAAGGAGGTATTTAGTGAGTGTTCATCTGTAAAACTGCATATGTGGAATTTAGCATGACATGTTCAAGATCCAACTTGCAATGAAATTGTACCTAAAAGAAATGGAGGTGAACGTTTGGAGTCGTGAGAGGTATATAAAGCTCTATATTAAAGGAAAAGGCTAGCAATGGACTAAAACAACACTACCTCTCAATACCTGTTTGAGGCTATTAGCCAAAGCTCATTGGTTCCCATTATAAGCTTGTCACAAATGTATAGTTTGAGTTTAAAAATAAGAGTAAATAGTGTATTTTTTGGGGACTATTTTCAGCCACAGTCTAGTGAGTATTTATGGCAGCAGGGCGGTGTTTGTGGGATTGACCCTAAATAAACTCAATGTGATTGATGTGTTTTTCAGAATTTTTATTTATTATATAATATTATAATACTTAATTTTTAGTCTCTTCTTGCCGATTGTTGACAGTAAGAAAAATCCTTTAAGTCTCTGAATCTTCCACTGAGAATGTTTTCTGTATAAACAAGAAATATTTCCTTGAGCCTTCCTGTCTTTAAATAAATTATACAAGTCACTCTGCCTTAAAGAGTTGAAAACTCAGGAACTAATGTTTAAAAAATGATTAATTAAAATTATTTTGATTGGTTACATGCTCGGTTTCTGCTTGATGAATAAACATTCAACAGTCTAGTCATACCCAAGAGGACTAGGTCACAAAGAGGACTGTGCATGGCTCCTCTAAGGCTTAAGATTCAGTGGAAGCTCTTGCACTCACCTGGTGCCAGAGCAAACATGGACAGGGACTCTCCAGTGGAAGCCACAGCTGTGACCAGAGTCCGTCGACGGGTAAAGTACTGGGAGAGGATGGTCACAGTGGGCAGGAAGGTCAGACAGTAGCCCAAACCTGTACAAAAAAAAAATGTAGCTATTGTTTTTTTAGACATGGCTAAAAAACACATTTAAAGAGCAGAGAGGGAGACAAAGAATTCAATACCTGTAACTAATCCATAGGTGATGTACATTTGATTGACGGAGCTGGTAAAGCTGGTGGCAATAGTACCCGTGGAGATAAGTAATCCTCCAATCATTACAACAAGTTGGAATCCAAAGCGGTTAGTCATCACAGAGGAGAGAGGACCTGAGGACAAACTGTTGTTTAGACTACAGTACAGTAATTCTTACAACTCCTTTGTCTTGTCTATAGTACTTGTACTTTATTTCACTTTGCAGGGTTGCACCAACTTAACCTCACCAGCTGTACTCACCATTGAAGGTCATGACAAACACGCAGATGGAAACAATCCAGGAGACCCTACTGTTGGTCTCCCCAAACTCCTTCATTAGGTCCTGGAGGAAGATGCCAAAGCTCTTGATGATGCCATAGGTGAAGACCTCCACAAAGAAGAAGGCCACGGCCACCACCCATCCCCAGCCTCCATCAGGGGCCTCTGGGTACACATTGGGCCCCAAGAAACGTGCCCCCTTGGCTCCACACAGTGCCATGCCCTGTAAAGATATATTTAATATGTATGTGTTTTTGTAAATAGTGAACCTGTTAAAATGAATTAAGTTTTTTCTTAAAAAAAAAAAAAAAACTATGGTCAGCAATTTTAAAAATAAAATTTTAAAAGTGCATCATTTGTCTGGTTGACTAACATGAGCAAAAGACAACATTAACGTCATCATTGTCTTATATATAACGTTACTGTCAATGTGCAGTAGTTTATTTAGCGTAGCTGCCTCAACACTGACAGTTAAGTTACTAACAGTGAGTTGTGTAAGTTAGCTACAAATTAAAGTTATCGAGTTCAAGTTCTTCAAGTTTAGCTAGCGACAACAGCTAACAAACATCACCGGCTGTGCGCGTGTAGCCTGCCGCACTCAGGACAGCTGAAGAAGAAGATGGACTCACTCTGCTCCTCCTCTCAACAGAGAAAGTTCAGGTTAAATGTGGTAACCCTGGTCCTAATCTTCAGTTACAGAAACTGAACTTACTGGCTAATACATATGAAGCTGAATCATATTTCCCCCCTTTTATGTCCCTCTTTGTTTGGCAGCTTGCCTTTTGAATGAAGTGGTCCTGTGCATCCTTGCGAGGCTGCTGTTTAATGTACAAACACTGTCAGTGCTTGCCAAAGATGGCAAGGAGTAAAAGGCAGAAGTAGTTTGATGTTCAGCCCTTCTTTGCACAAGGTTGGGCCTAATCAATTATTAATGCAAAAGCACATTTGGGGGCACAGAATCAGATGTTTCTAGAATTTTATGCACCATTAGCTTTAGTTTTAGGACCAGGTCATTAAAATCACCCTTTTGGCCCTAATTCTGGATAAACAGCATTGGGATTGGATATGTTGAGCCTCTGTATGAGTACAATGTCTACAAAAACTTTATTACATTTCTCTAGTGTCATCCCTTTTGCTATCGTAAAAGCAGGGCACAAACGCTTCACTTTTACTTTTTCAGCACAACTGATGTTTATTCTGGGTGAACATCAGAAAACATTTAAACAAGAATGGACAAAAGAATGATACGCAACCAAGCTCAGTCCCATATATTGAATTTGAGTTAAGTTAAGCTCATACATTTTACAGCTCTGATGTAATATAGAATAAATCCCATAGCAGCAGACATCAAATCACATTGTTTTCTTACCTTATGCATTATTTCCAATGTGCAGCATTGTGTGTAAAACCCATTTTTCAACTACTGACTTCACACATTACACACCATGTGTTGGAAGACAATCACTACTCTGTCCATACACCATTTACTCCACCTGCAGTTGCTCTGTACGGTACTCTGTATAACTATTACTACAGCTGTATGCACACCTATATTGACACATGCACAAACAGAATAGCCGCCATGGTCAAATATAGTGAGTTATTAGTGTACTGAAACTATGTGCAACTGTCCTTTGAAATAACTCGCGTTAAACTACAACAAATAAAAATTTCCACACTTAAAACATGAACATAAAAAAACATCAAAGAACGTGGATCACTGGGCACATACATGTAAATATTAACTGAGTGGGTTGGTAGCTGAAAGTTCTGGAAGATATTAGTTTGTGGACCTCGAGTTAAGACTAATATGTCAAAGTAAGGTCAAAAATGACCACACTCAGTTTTAAAGTCATGTATAGCCTATTTTTTTGTGTGTAATTTGTTTATTCCATAACTCACAACAATTGACAACTCTTTTAACTTTCTCAAGTTCAATTAAATTCAATACACCAACAAACTGATATGATGGATATACGGGTTTAAATACTACTATATAGTTGAAGTAGTGGATAAATACTGCTAATAGCAAACAGTACACAGTTTGGATTTACTTTTATTTTCCTTTAAAGTCTCCTTACTTTTATACTTTTTTCTTTTTGTATACTTTATGTATCCAACTACAAACATGTTTAAATTAGTTCCAGTAAGACTAAGCATTATAGAAATAAAAAGTATTAATTCCATTATTATATATATTATATAACATTTTCTTCAGCTAAATGGAAGAGAAACATTAACCCTGGTTTCTGCTATTGGGTGTTTAATTGGAAATCACTGCCTGCCAGAATCCATTATCAAAATCCCTTTTTTTTTTTATCGGGATAGCCTGTTAAACAACTTTTAATTGGTTTTAAACCGGTCAATTGCGTTTTTTAATTAAGAGGGGTGGGGAGGGGGTGGCGAGCCGTATGGTCCGTCCTCACGCGGCTGACGCAATGCTCTCGGTCCAGCGGCGGCTCGTGTGGTCGGTGTGACTTTGTTAACAGCAAATACACACTTTGTAAGTACTTAAACGTCGCCTGTTTGAGCCATATATACATATATATTTAACTGAAGACGTGTTGAATGTGTGTCTTACCATTTCCAGTTTCTCTACTGAAGCAAACGCACTCGTACGTACTGAAATGACCTGTATTTAAGCAGTGTGTCTCACCTGTGTGCCGCTACTTTCAGACAGAAACAGTCCGTCCGTCGCCCCACTGTTGCTGCTGGAATCCCGCCGGTGTCAATGGACGACTGACCTAAACGTACACGTATTCTCACGTGCATATGTCCCCAAACACACACACACGTGGAGACACACTACACACACGGACGAACATGCTGTCTGACACTAGTTCGCATTCATAAACGCCACCTCCCTACAGGCAACTGGGGGGGATAAGGAGGTTTAAAGAGATCTGGTTACAGCCAGTTCTTGCCCCATATCCGTGTGTAGACTGCCCCGCAGCCCCCTTCCACTGTGGGGTGCGGGGTTGTTAAGGAAAGGCCTGGGTTCATGGCTGGGGGTTGAGAGGCTGAAAGACTGGCAGGGTTTGTGGGTGAATGTTGATGTGGCGTCAAACTAATATGTGTTGAAAACTCTTAAAAATCTAACAAAACATTGCATAAATTTGACAGAAAGTATTTTTTTAAATCTCCATATTTAAAATGTAATTTAGCATTATTAATCAAGGGCTGCTCACAGGCATAGATTCCCCTAGTTAATGCAGTTTGACAGTCCACATCATTCAGGGTCATACAGTTTAGTCTTTTCTGTATTTATTTTGTCCCTGGACCCCAAACATACCCTACATACACACACCTGAAGATTTTCCAAAGGTGTGACCTTTCTGTATTTGTTGTCTTTGTTTCTTGTAAGAATTTGGTTGACATAAAAGTTTAACTTGACATACTGGTATGATGAAGAAGAAAGGCAGATGTGTTAGATCCAAACATCTTTGTACCAATCTTGAGTCATTAACAGAGACACCTACCTGCTTTGGATTTTATCACTGTCACTATGTTTACATCGCCTCAAGAAACCAGGTTGAGCATTGGCTGTATTTTTTTAACCCCTGATTACAGTTTTCTTGTTCACATGCCGTTTAAGAAATATTGGTACTACAGAAATGTTTCTAAATGATTTATAACATTTTGAGTTGTATCAGTACTAGTCTAAATAATGTCTTTAGAAGTATAAACCCATTAACATTAGCAAATCACCCCTCTTTCAGTCTAAACTAAACTGACCATGCAATATATATAACCTCATCTGTGACAAGCTATTTTAGTTAACAGAGCTGTGTTTTCATAACCTAAAAAAAGTATAGAGAGTACAGACATGGGATTTGTGTGGACAATTGCACCAGTTCCATCATTTTCTATACTGTATATGGTACAAGCAGAACTTGTACAAGGGAATAATGAAGTCTTTCAGCTACAGAACATAGTTGCCAAACAATAGTTCCCATTCCCTCACTCACTCATGCCTACATTCATCATCTACATCTGCTGATTTACATGCCAGCTAAGGTTTAAATGAAACCTATGAAACCCTTTGCAGATTTTGACCAAAAATGGTGGAGGGCTTCATTCCACTCCTTCTGTCTGGGATGCTGATGTGTGGTCTGCTTCTCCAAACGGTGTCTCAACATGGAGCCAATGTTGATGAGCCCAATAAGAAGCCCAATTTCATCATTATATTGGCAGATGATATAGGCTGGGGAGACCTGGATGTTAACCAGCCTGAAGAGAAGACAAACAACACACCATATCTCAACCTGATGACTGAGCAAGGACTAAGGTAGAGAATTTATGAATTCATTTTATACCTGATCTGTTATGTAACACTAAATTCTATGTCATATCATCAAAACCGTTTTGACATCAGTCTTAGGGGCTTGTACTTTAAGTGAATGCCTTAAGGTAAAGGTTTGGGATGATGAATGTTTTATGGTATTTCAGTCTGTGACATGATGCAGTGAATGACAGGATATTGTCCATGCTCTCTCCCCCTGTGACTCTTTCAAATGTCAACAATGTGTAATTTCTTCTCAAACTATCTTCACTTTTTCCAGATTGACAGACTTTCACTCTCCAGCCTCCACCTGTTCCCCATCCCGTGCTGCCATCCTGACGGGCCGCTATGGCCTAAGAAACGGGGTGACTCATAACTTTGCTGTGGGCTCTGTGGCCGGTCTACCTCTGTCTGAAGTCACCCTGCCCCAGCTACTACAGAAGGCAGGATATTACACAGCCATGATCGGAAAATGGCATCTTGGCCACAATGGACCATATGGTCCAACTAATAGAGGTAAGTGGGAGCTTGACATTTATACCCCCAAACCTCCAGGAGACCCAACTAAACACAAAAGGCAGGAATTTCCATAGAGATCTTTTTCAGCCTGAAGCTCAAAGTTTGCACTCAAAAATTCCCACAATTCACCTAAATTGAGAATCAATAGAGATTGGTTTTGGATATCAACTTTTTTTTGCTTACAGGAATGAACAAATCAAACTTGAAGAGCAAAACAAACCCTATTCCTAGCTACTGTTAACTTTAGCTTCTGGTATCCTTTGGTAAACATACAGTATAAGAAAACAACCTTTTTGTAAACATACTGTTGAGATTAAATAAAGTTATCTAAAACCTTAGTAAATCATTTGAGGAAAGTAGCCCACTAGAGCCACAAGCTATAGTTATGATAATTTATAGAAGAGTAAGATGTCAATAGAAACAGAGGGTATATGGGTTATATACAGTAGGTATATACTGACAAAAAGAATATAAAAAGGTTACAGTCCAGCCTTGAGGATCCACAAAACAGCAGCAGTACAATCAGTAACAGACGCTTGCTGAGACAAAAATCCAGTACAACCTTTTATTTATCAGTTGATAGATTTCAAATGTTATAAAAATGCAAAAATATTTTCATATGCCACCTAAAACAATGAGATATGAGCTAACACACACACGCTATTTTATTGCACAACACTGTATCTTTCCCGTTCAGTGTTATGGCGTCAGTTTTTCTAGAACGTTCCGGCCACATGCAGTGTGTGAGCAAATTCATCGGCCTCGCTGCAGGAACAGACTACACACAACAAAGTCCTTGAAGCTGCGGTCTTGTGAGACAACAGACTTGGTCCTGACTTTTTTGCTTAGAGGCTACAGCTGACTCAACACTCACGGCGCCCACTACGGCTCACCCGTCAGCCACCCCGTCAGCCCCTTACTCATTCCTTTCGTGCGTGGAAGTCTTCCTCCCACACTTAAACTCAAACACCCTCGACCTTTGGATCACGTTATATTTGTAAGCTTGTGCAGGTGATCCACACTTTAGGACAATGGCCAAACTTTACTGCAATATGTACTTGGCTTTGTGTTACTACACGCATTGTGCCTTCACAATGAAGTTATTCACTTCAGCTGTTTTGCCTAATATATTTTTCTTTATAAGAGGATATGTCATATGTCAGAAGAAGCTTTCACTTCTTTCAGTTTCTTACTTGTATGGATAAAACACTGTATGTTATTGGTTGTGTAAATGTGTATAACATAGTACAAACATTCTTCTTTGTCTACTGTCTACTGGACAGATGGGTAACAACAAGTCATTGCAGTTACATTTATGTTGTTGTTTTTATGTTTATTGTCTCTTGGGCAGGTTTTGACTACTACTTAGGTATTCCTTACAGTAATGACATGGGCTGTACTGACATACCTGGATATAATTTGCCACAGTGCCCTGCCTGTGACTCTTCTGGACCTCAAGTGATCAGGTCTGCTCCTACTTTAACAAATATGACACACTCAGGCCGGAATGAAAGTTCTCCTGACAAAGGTTGTTTCTTAAATAATGTAAGACTCAGTGGATAACATCATTATTGGGGGAAAAATGAACTAGTATACCTTGGTCTCTCCATCCTGCTATTGGCACTTTATATTTTAAAAGACATGATATTTGTGTTGCTGATTTCTTGACTTTACAAGAAGTTTGGTTTCTTAGTAAAACCTAGATTGGTGAGTTTGTGTGTCATATTTCTGTGTATGGGAAACCATAACCAGATTATGATGTACCACAAACGCTGCTACGCAACCTACCTAGTGCGACCTAGAGCTGTACGTATGGCAAATGATATCAAGTTCTTCTTTCCTGATGAAGCCCTACACTTCCCTAACTAATTCCAAACCCTGTCATTACTTAATAGCCTCCTTTACACAAACACCCCTATACCATTTACTATCTCATTATGCTCTATTGTTCTCACGGTCTAGACTGAAGAGGAGTGTACATGGAGGCTGTTATTCCAAAGTGGGCCTTCCTCTGATGGAAAACAGCAGCATTGTGGAACAGCCACTTGATCTGTGGACACTAACAGAACAATATAAATCCACTGCAACCAGGATCATACAGAATGCAAGGTATAGTATATACCAAACATACACAAAGTACATTGTTGTCATTATGTATGGATACAGCACAATAATACATTACCATCATCTTTCTCATATTTCCTCCCCTACAGTCGGTGTATGGAGTAACAAGGATGTGTGTGTGTTTACAGTAGAATCATTCACAAGGTGGTACTTATTCAATTTCTGCACATTAGATTAAAAAATAAAGCCTGCTCGATGTTGCTGGAAATCATATTGACAGAACGATGTGACCTAAAATCCTAAATGTTTCTGTTGGAGTTGGAGATGTTGACAGGGTGCTACGATGCAAATACACTGCGAATGAATGGTCTTCAAGGGTGTGAGCACAGTTTTTACTGAACCTAATCGTGCAGCCTGTGTGTTTGAGCCAATCACACTCTGGTTCCATAGAGAGTACGCTTCTCTCTCTTGTCTCTGTATGTTGTCCACTAATCTGGCAGCCAGTCAAGTGTGTGTCTCTCTACAAACAGTGTGTATGAGGGTGAAACTTGAGAACTCAAATTTGATATGGTCTGGAAGAGACAGCTGAGGAAGTGAAACTTTGTCAATAGAGAGATGAAACACCCCACACACTTTTAACAAGATTGGAAATTATTTTAACAACTTGCCAACCTGTATCATTCAGTTACGAACAGGCATGTTCACTGTAACTGCACTGTCTGTATATTTTCCAGACAGAACTGTGTGTGTGTGTGTGTTTTGGAAGGACAGGAGGAGGGCTCTAAGTCCTGCTGTTTGCAGCTGTCTGTAAAAGGCAACATGCCTTCATGCTATAGTGCAGGGTCATGTGAACTTGTGCAGCGGTTGTTAGTCACATGCTGTCAAGACCCAACCAACAGTATGCAGCTTTCTTTCAGCAAGGTCATTTAAAGTGACTGTTGCTCTGTTACAGATACCTACATAAATGAAATGTCAACATGGACTAGGAAAACATGCTCCAGTGTGCACATTAATACCCTATGAATGCCACATATTGTTTCCAACATGATTATATTCACAAACTATACTGCCATTTCAGCAGTGTATAACTTTAAAACCATCAAAGTACTGCCAGAAGTCACTGAACATTAGCAAATAGTTAAGATACAATTATTGCATCATTGTCGGATTGTTGTTCATGTTTCTTACTTTGTGTTTCAAAGCTTGACCACGAGTGAACATGGAAACCAGTATGTGATTGGATACAAGTCTCCTGTTTTTTTGCTTATACATAGATATGCTTTCAAGAAAATACTTATTGCATTTGTCAGTAAAAGTTGTCTGACTTGTCTCTGCAGGGAGAGAGGACAGCCCTATCTCCTTTACATAGCGTTGGCTCATATGCACGTTCCTCTGGCCCCTTCACTCCGTCCAGATGCTTCTGCCGGTCCTCCAGATGACGACAAAGTGTACACCGCCAGCTTGCAAGAGATGGACAGCCTCGTGGGGGCAGTAAAGAGTGCTTCTGATGACGCAGACAAAGACAATACTCTGATCTGGTTCACCGGTTAGTCAGCTGGATGGAATATGTTGGTTCTTCCGCAATACCAGTGTAATTATTATCCTAAAAAAGCCTAAAACATAAAAGCACAGTCTTGTGTGTGTGTGTGTGTGTTGTGTTTAGGTGACAACGGACCTTGGGAACAGAAGTGCCAGTACGCAGGAAGAGTAGGACCTTTCCTGGGAAAATGGCAGACCAACAGAGGTATAACAACGAAAACTCCTTCCATGTACGCTTTATGACATGACATAGTGGTATATCTTATTGCTGTGAATCCTCATATTCCTAAAGTGGTCCTTTGCCTGTGTGTAAGGTGGAGGTTCAGCTAAGCGGACCACCTGGGAGGGAGGTCACAGAGTGCCAACAGTAGCTTATTGGCCTGGAAGGATCCCAGCAAACACCACTAGCTCCACCCTGCTCAGGTACTCCCATTTTACCAATGAGACTACTCAAAAAATCCCTCAAATACTTTAACAGATCCTGTGTTTACTTTATAGACCCGATGTGTACATAAGGGATAGTTTATTAAGCAGGGAGATGCATTCAGAGAGATTTTTTGCCATGCTAGCGGCATGGTTTCTAGTAATGGTTAGGTCTGTCGGGTTGATTGGTCCTCCACTTTGGTCCAGATCTCAAGAACTACTGCATTTTAGTCTTTTACTGCATTATTAGATGGATTGCCATGAAATTTGGTACAGATATTCGTGGTGACCAGAGGATCAATCCAAATTGCTTTGGTGATTCTGTGACTTTTCATCTAGCGCCACCAGCAGGTTAAAGTTTTTATCCAGTGAAGAATCTTGACACCTACAAGACAGATTGCCACATTTATGATTCCCAGACAATGAGTCCTAATGACTTTGGTGATCCCCTGGCCTTTCCTGTAGCGCCCCCATGAGGATGGCATGGGGTTTTATATATACATGATGTTTTACTATGTGAATGTAGCTTCTATAGCCTTTTGAGTTATGCTCAGAAAATACATCTGCACAGACAAACCGGCCAGGCCACTAGACTGGTACCACCATGTTGACATACTGCCGTGCATGTCATCCAGCACGGTGTCAGGGCATAACAAGCAGCACGGCAGACATTCTGTACATTAATATATATATAACAATAAGGGACAAAAGAAAAGGAAAAAAAGGAATTTAGGAAGAAAGAAAAGAGGGTGTGACATATAATATATAGTATTCCTTTAAGTCAGTTCTTTAAGTTGTTTTGACCTTATGACAATCCAACCCTATTAACCCCCATCCATAAAAGCGTGGTATCGCTCCCACTTCCTGATATATAGTTCCACCCGATTGAGTAACCTGGTTTTGTAATGCATCTAGTTTACCCAGCTGGATGTACAACAGAGAAGCTGCAGGCATAGAGGAGGCTTTCCAATTCATAACAATGAGCTTCCGTCTCAGCATGAGGGCGGTTTGAACCCAATCTGCCTCAGTGTGAGTTAAATGATCTAACACTGCGGGGTCTCCCAAAATGTACAGGGCTGGAGTGAAATGGACATCTTTGCAAATAATTGTTTGAATGTAGTCATGGATCCTTAACCAAAACTCCCGTACCTTTGGGCAGCTCCACAGCATGTCAACCAGAGTATCATTGTTTCCATTGCACCTCCAGCACCCTGCATCATCACGCAGCCCTGCTCTGTGCAACCTGGACAGGGTCCAATAGACTCTAGGGAATTTAAAACAAGATTAATTCAATTTAAAATATTAAATAGACTTTTTTTTTTTATTTCTAAGAATTAAGATCCAATCGCCCTCTGTGAAACACTGAGGTCGGCTTCCCATGTTGATCTGAGGGGCGACATATCCCCATCAGAATTAAGCAGTACATTTAACATGTACATTAAAAGTAATAGGCTGTGGCCTTGTGACCCTTGCCAAAAATGCCTGAATTCTTCACCAGATATCCAGACTAGGGGGAGCCACAGAAGTCGAGCCAAAGGTCTGTATCAGCAGATACTTCAGCTGAAGATACCTCCAAAACTGATTCTGTGGAAGATCAAATTGCTGTTTTAGATTTTCAAACAATTTCAATCTCCCCTAATCCTAAAGGTCACCTAAAACCATGATCCCTTTTTGATACCAAAACTTTCAAAAAAAAGGTGCTTTGCCAATACAGAGCCCAGATTCCCACATGTTCATGGAGATCGGGGCTGACCTTGTATCTCAACGCTACTCTTTTTCAGACCCATTGTATACAAGAAACAACTGGCTGTGTATTGATATCTGGGGTAATTTAGCTGTTATGAAATGTGCTAGAGAAAGAGGGCTACACAAGATACTTTCCAGAACAAACCAAAAAAATTGAAGGTGTAATGCAAAATAGTTCTCTCTTCTCCTCTTCATGCCTTCTTGCAGTGGTATGGACATCTTCCCTACTCTTCTGTCCCTGGCAGGTGTAACTCCTCCCTTAGACAGACGTTATGATGGCATTGACGCCACAAATATCCTCTTGCGTGGTGAACACACTGGTCATGAGGTAACCTTACTTTGGTTTATAAATAATTTTCCCTGTATTGTCAGTGGGGGCTGTGCATTTGGGTCTTGTTGCAGAAATTAGTTCTTTTCTTTTTTCTCGCAGTTTCTCTTGCACCCCAACAGTGGTGCTGCAGGGAAGTTTGGTGACCTGCAGACAGTTCGGACAGGGAAACACAAAGCTTTCTACATCACAGGTACGTGCCAAGTACAGGTCACATGTGTTCAGTCACACTTCATTAGAGATGTCATGTTATTACTGTAATTCCAACTGTTTGTTAGCAAAATTACAGAACTTACTTCTCTAAGCAATGACGTGTTTATTAATGTACAGAATGTCTGCCATGCTGCTTGTTATGCCCTGACACCGTGCTGGATGACATGCACGGCAGTATGTCAACATGGTGGTACCAGTCTAGTGGCCTGTTTGTCTGTGCAGATGTATTTTCTGAGCATAACTCAAAAGGCTATAGAAGCTACATTCACATAGTAAAACATCATGCTGCATACATTTTAATATCTACGTATTAAAGCAAGTAGTATGAAGTATTTTGAAAGTACTATGACTCAGTTGTGCTTTAGAATACTAATTTCATGTTACAATTAACCATAAAATTACATATTACAAACCTTAATATTAGGTGTAGGTACTGCAATTTTGACAGTTTTAATGCTAATTTCACATTTATTTAACCTTTTTTTTTGCAAAACCCAACACATATCTTCATAAGCCACAGGTAACCTCCAGCTACCATGTTGTACAAACAACTGACAAAAAAGGAAATGTACATATACTGTACGAGTCTTTGAGAGAGTTTTGGCGGGGCAAAAAATGTGAGAAAAAGACTAATTAGAAATGCACATGTGCTTGTTCTTTTGAAGGTGCAGCTGAGGCCTGCGGTGGTGCAACAGGAAGGCCACAGCTCCATGACCCGCCACTGATATTTGATCTGGAGCGTGATGAGGCTGAGGAAACACCCCTGGAGGTCAAAACACCAGAATACCAGGCGGTAGCAGATAGGATCGCCCGAAGGAGGGAGGAGTTATTATGGGACATTGCGACCGACAAATCTGTGTCCACGGCGGACTACAGCACGGATGAATCAGCAGCGCCCTGCTGTGACCATAGACAGCCTGTTTGCCGCTGCCACACACTGGGCCAAGGGTGGGAAACCACACGCACAAACACTCACACAAAAGGCTGAAAGTAGCACACAGATGCAAGCAAACAGATTTGCTTTGTTTGTAGAACATGTTGTTTGGGAGGTTCAATGTCCAGATGCAGCAGGAGACGTGCAAACAAGCGGAGAGCAAAGAGGCGCAGGCGGGCGAACTTTGGCCAGTTGTTATTGTGAGGTCAATAATTTGGGAAAAATAAGATCAGACAGTAAAGACATTCTACAATTTGTTAATCAATTTGTTGCAGTGTAATTCAACCTAAAGTCATGTTGAACAGTTGATGTTTCAGAAAATAACTTGGCTTTGTTATTATTGTGTTGGATATATGAGCTTTAATTCAGGATTGAAACATTTATAAAAATTATTGTTATTTTTTTGTTTTTGTAAATCAAATCGACACCATGCAGAGGTTGAATCAGTTCTCAGCTTTAATGAGTCTCTGGTGTAAATGTCCAGTATCGAACAGCTCAATGCAGCGTAAGGGTGTCCTAACAGCGCCACCTTTTGGCAAATCAAATGGTATTACCATGTTACTTATTACAACAGTACTATATATAAATGTTATATACATTATACACACAGTAAAAATCCTCAATATATATTTACGCATGGTAAGTCTATGCGTTTGATGTGTAATACTGAAAACATTTTGCAAAAGAATATTTATTACATCAAAGTTAAAATGACTATGACTTCCATGTTAACATACTGAATTCAGCATCATGTAGTAAATAAAAAGGTCTTCAGGATATTACTGAAATTCAAGGACCTGTAACTTTGTCACGTACAGCTCACCATCAAGAGCTTCACATTCAGCTGCTGACCGCTCCTCCCACAGAGCCAACTCTTTCCAGATATATGATCAGGTTACGTTTGTGACTCCGCAGGTTTTTAGTCTCATCTATCGCTACCATAATTAGTAATGACAGCTGCATCTGCAAGTCATATAATACTTACTGCATGTATCATGATTTAAATAGTGTATCACACTTACAACATGTTTTCCTTCTTGAGAGAACTACCGCTCCTCTTTCCTGAGGTGTGACACATTTAATGCCCATTGATGAGCTCCCCGAATTCCTGAGGCCCGATTGACAAAAATGCCCGTATGATAGATTTTCAGATGCTAATTTCTAAGACTTAGAAGTATAAACAAGTCATGATCTTAAGAGATTTGACTCATTTTATCATATGCTTGTCTGATTGCACTTGCCTTGTTTAGAAGATGTTAAAAATACCTTACAGTTAACTTCTTAGCATCTTTCTGAAGAGCATTTTTGTGAATCTTTTGTGTCCTCTACTACATTGGTATTTTCAGCTCATTAATACCAGCCACATGCTCATCTGGTTGCTACCATGATAATATTGTGCAACAATAATGTGACTGTGTTGTCAGTGTTTCTTGATGTCAGTATTTAAAAAAAAAAGAAATGATTAACACTGTTAATGGCGTAATATGGGAGTTAACAGCGGGACACTTAGACAGTTTTCAGTTTTTCAATCTGTCTAAGAAAAGAGTTTAAGATGTTTGTTTTTTTAATGATGAGTGGACCTTCCACTCTTTTTTAGTGTTTTTTCTTCTTTTTTTTTTATTCCTTACAAAACGTGGTAGGGACACAGAATACAGAAACACCAGGAAGTAACATTCTGGCAAGATTTGACCCTAAGCCAGCAGGGGTACATGTGTCAACACAGGAATATTTTTGTCCACCTCCCCTGTTTGAAACAAGTGAGTCTGATTGTTAAGCAGGGGTTGGGTGTTTCATGGGGAGGTTTGGTCAGTTACTCTGGTTGCCGACTGGAGGGAACTCATTCTCGTCATCCAGACAGACGGGGCCCTCAGCAAACTCGTGCTCTGGGATGACCTCACCCTTCTGTGCTCCACCATCCTCAGAGTAACCTGAAGAGAGAAAGGAGATAGCAATCCTTATCTGTGTCCACTGAGAACCTTTTTTATGTTTATGTTTTTTTACCTATGTTTGGAAAGGATTTCAGATCAGACTAGATTCATAAAAGCAAAACCTTTTATAGGTACATTAGGTGCTTAATGTTTATAAGAAATGATAATCATTAATAAAGTATTTTTATTACTGCAGGTTTTACTTGAATTTTACTTGAACAAAGACATTTTCATATATATATATATA